ACATAAAGAGTGATCATGGAACTGAATTTAAGAATAATGTTCTTGATTCGTTTTTGGTAGATAAAGGAATTTCGCATAATTTTTCATCTCCATATACACCACAACAAAATGGTGTTGTTGAACGAAGAAATAGATCTCTATGCGAAGCCGCAAGAACAATGTCGGCATATGTAAATCTTCCATAATATCTTTGGACTGAAGCTGTATCCACTGCATGTTATACTCAAAACAGATCTTTTCTTCATCACTCCATATGAAATAATCAATAATAGAAAACCTAATGTGAAAATTTTCCATGTTTTTGGACGCAGGTGCTTTATTATGAATCTTAAAGACAACCTTTCGAAATTTCAAGCGAAAGCTGATGAATGGATTTTCCTTGAATATTCGCATAATTCAGTCGCCTATTGAGTACTAAACAAAAGAACACGAAAAGTGGAAGAAACATTCAATCTTACATTTGAAGATTATTATATCAAACAATCTGAAAAACATTTTGAAAATCATCCTATTTTGAAAGAAATTCCTAATGAATCTGAACCTATACAATCATTGGATATTGATTATGATTTGATTTTTGGAATTTCATATCAGGTTCTTGATGCTAAAATTAATGCCAATGACAATCACATACATTAATCAATGAAGTTCAATGATAATTCAATATCACATCATCAACCAATGGACGAAAGTATGCATGTTAATCTAGTAGAGGGGGAGCACTTGGATTTGAACAATATTGTTAAGGGGGAGCATTCTTTCGAGGGGGAGAATGAGAGGGTAAATGCTGATGTTGAGGGGGAGAAAATTGAACAAAATGAAGATTTTCATGATCTTAATGATGCATGTTCAATTTCTGGTTCAGAACATGATGATTTGTATGACGATGCACCTTTGGAATTTGATTCAGCTTATCCACCAATGGAAAAATGGACAAAAGATCATCCGAAGGAGAAAATAATTGGTAATCCACAAGAGGGAGTTTTAACAAGAGCTCAAATTCGTGCGAAGGATGAGGTATTAAATACTCATCAAGAATTTTGCATGTTCAATGTCTTTATCTCTAAAATTGAACAAAAAATAGTTAAGATTGCAATGGAACACTCAGATTGGGTTGTTGCAATACAATCTGAATTGTCGGGTTAAAATGAATTTTCAAAAATAAAAACGACAAAGATAGAAATGGTGTTAGAAACAAAGCCAGGCTTGTTGTTAAGGGATATTCTCAACAAGAAGGAATAGATTACGAAGAAACTTTTTCCCCTGTCACAAGACTTGAGGTTGTTCGTATATTTTTTGGCTTATGCAGCTCATAAAAATTTTGATGTTTATAAAATGGATGTGAAATGTGTATTTTTAAATGGTGAGCTTGAAGAGACTGTATATGTTGAACAACCACCAGGTTTTATTAACGAAGAACATCCTAATCATGTTTATATCTTAGATAAGGCAGTTTATGGTTTGAAACAAGCACCACGAGCATGGTATGCAATATTAACTTCATTTTTGAAGCAATCTAAATTTTAACAAGGATTAGTTAATCCCACATTATTTCAAAAGAAAGTTGGGAATCATCTAATGCTTGTTCAAATTTATGTTGATGATATTATTTTTGGCTCAACTGACCCAGCCTTGTCTAGTGAATTCGAAAATTTGATGAAAAGGAAGTTTGAAATGAGCATGATGGGAAAAATCAATAATTTTCTTTGATTGAATATTCGTCAAAACAGAGAAGGTATTTTTATCAATCAAGAAAAATATACGAAAAATTTGCTAGAGAAGTTTGGATTGACGAATATCACAAAGTTACGAGTTCCTATGGCAACTGGCATCAAGCTGACACATTCTTTAGATAAACCTGCAGTTGAACTAACTCTTTATAGAAGCATGATAGGTTCATTACTTTATCTTACTGCTAGTAGACCTAACATCATGTTTTCTGTATGTAATTGTGCTAGGTATTAGTCAAATCCACGAGAACCACATCTCACTTCTGTAAAGAATATATTTCGTTATCTTAAAGGAACAATTTCACTTGGATTGTGGTATCCTTCAAAAACTAGGTTCTTTGTTCAAGAATATTCAGATGCTGATTTGGGAGGTTGCAGTCTGGATAGAAAAAGCACAAGTGGCGGTTGTCAATTGCAGGATGGCAAATTGGTGAGTTGGCAGTCGAAGAAGCAAACATGTGTCCCGATTTCAACTGTTGAAGCAGAATATGTAGTTGTTGCTGCTTGTACTTCACAAATCATTTGGATTCAAAGCCAATTACGGGATTATGCAATTAATATGAAAAAGATTCCATTATATTGTGATTCTCAAAGTGCTATAAGAATTTGTCATAATCCTGTGCAGCATTCGAAGACTAAGCATATTGCTTTTCGTTATCAATTCATTAAGGATTATGTGGAAGATAGAAATATTGAAGTGCATTTTGTGAAAAAACCACATCAGTTAGCTAATATTTTCACAAAACTATTGGATGAAAAATTGTTCGTGAGAATTTTGGAAGGTCTTGGAATGATCGATGGAAATTCTGTTCCATGCGAAAAAAGGAGACTGATGGTTAGAAAGAATTTGTTCAGAGACACATCATCAAAGAAAAATGTTACTGTTCATAGTCAACTCTTCGAATCCTTCGTATTCATATAATTGTCATTCTCTTGAGTGTTTTAAATTTCGTATGTTTGCCACAAAATACAATTCTAAAAAAAAATCAAAAATACCAAAAAGATTTTTTCTTTTAAATTCAAAAACACAAAAATATTTTTGTTCTATCTTTCTTTTTAGTTGTTTGTTGCAGAATTTCATACTCAATTTCTTGGAACAGTGCTTGCAGTTCTAGGGTCAGGTATTTTTCGCACACATTAACCTAGTTAAGATGTCCCTAGAAGCATGTTGTAGCATGTTGACTAAAGCCTCTAAATGACTCAATGTTCGAAAGCCTTAATAAAATTTCCATACGAAGATTTCTTCCCAATCAGGCTTACATTCACATTAGTTTTCTGAGCTACCTGACTCTTCTCACACGATTTAAGAGTTTACTATTTGGTCCAACATAACAGAGGTACATGTTCTATCTTATACCAATCTATTTCATCTCAAAATTCTTCAACTATAACACACGAAGAAATATGTCCAAGATGTTTCTGATCCAACCAATCGAAACCTAGATATATCACAAATATGTGTTTATCATCAGACATCATGAGACCGTGATGGAAGTGAAACCCAAATCAATTAACCTTTAAGGAATTGATGGGGAACTTTGTTCCAGATTTTAATGAAACATTTGTTTCTGTACGTTTATTCGAAACTCCAAATCATATTCATTTCTTATGAGTGGTCTTGAGCAAAACATTCGAAACCCACGATGTTTGTTACCCAACAGGATCCAAAATACTATTTTTTCTTGAATATGATTTCAGTGTGAGTTTTATCAAAAATCCCATGTTACTTAAAAAAATTTCGAAGCAAACTTGTCACTGACTACACTGGTCAAACAAGTAATTTCTATTACAATTACTCACCTTATGTTTAGGTTGATATGTAACGAAATTCATTAAACCACCCCAAAAGCCTTTTAAAAGAAGCCCTTCGATACTTCTTTACAAGTATTCGATTGTAATTCATGGGAACATACACAAGTTGTTGATTATCTCTCTTGATAATTAACGAAGCAATCTTTGCCCGGGGTTTTAACCGCCTTCGTGTCAAATTGAATTTTTGACATCACTGAATATCCAAAGTTTTTTAAATTGCTTCTCATATTTATTCTTTCACACACGAAACACACGAAATCCTTGAGGTTCGGAGTAACAACAACTCAGGCTGATGATTTCCAGAATCTGGAAAATGACTTTACTTTGAAACCTTAAAGTAAAAGAGCCTTACCTCCATCCAAAGGGTTCTGACGGTTATTATTCTATTAGGGAAAATAGTCCAGCCTGTTTGAGGGGACTGTTCGAATTCTTTGTGGGTTTTGAGGAGACGTGACAATTACTTTATCACGCATGGTTACTTTTTCATCATCATGGCACGACTTTCACGGTGACACATCACAGATCATTAAATGCTTATCCCGCTTTGATTTCAAAATCCAGAGTTACATATAAATGGGGATTCAAGGGTTCATTTTCAGTTTACGCTTTCATATTCCCAAATTTTCTCTGATAAAATCCAAGTCTCAAACCCTAACAATGGTGACTGCTAATCCAGATGCAACTCTGTCTCACACCACAAATGACGTAACCTCATTGCCAATAATGATGATTCGGGGTAAAAACTACCAAGTTGAAGCAAATGTCTCTCTATATCATGAAGAACTAAAGATGCTTGTTGTTTCTCTAAAAAGCTTTGTATTATCTAAAGTCATTTTCAACTCATTCTCTGTTCCTCTTTCATGACTGTCTCAAGCTGGATCAACAACTACTTACTCGAAAGCTTTGGATGCAGTTCTGTTTAATCTAGTGACTGATAAGAAGGTTAGACTCTCAAAGAAGCTATTCTGCCAAGTTCTTGATATCCCTAATTCTCCGCCATATGTCACTTTTACTTTCCCACAAATTGTTCACATGTTCAATGAAATGGGTCATCAACCCCAATTATCCAAGACAAGTGATTTCAAGAAGTGGGGTCTTCCAAGTTTTTTGAATTTTCTATTTGGTATTTTCCTAAGATGTTTAACTGGAAGAACTGTTGCGTTAGACAAGGGGAGAATGGAGGTTTATGCTATGGTCACAGGCTTATATTATGATCTTCAAGTTGATTACTCTACTCAGTTATGGAAAGAGTTCTTGAAGAGTATTGAGAACACAAATGCTCTTCATGGCATTTCGTGTGCCCGATACTGGAGCTTGATTCTACAATATTTCTATGAGAATGAGGGGATTCTGGTTCCTGCAGATGAAGAGAAAGTTTTGTTACATGTGTATAGTTGTCTGAAGGATGAAACTGATGATACTGAAGAGTTTCCAGTTGTTGCTCGGATTCCGGATGCCATGCTTAAAAGAGTTGATCCTACCAACACAGTTCTAGTCACTTACTTGCAAACCATTGATACTTCTGTTAAAACTGGAGTTCTTTTGGCAAGAGAAGAAGATACGAAGACTAAGTGTTCGAAGAAGGATGCTGCTGAATCTTCTGAGAAACAAGTGAAAGAAACTAAATCTACAAAGAGTCAGAAGAAGTTACCGATTACAGAATCCAAGACAAGAAAACTTGAAGTTTTTGTTGTTGATAGTCCATCAACTCAAAAGGAAATCATTCCTTCGAAGACTGGTGTCTTTCGTAGAATCAAGATGAAGTCCAAACATAAGAGTCGATCACCCCTTACAAATGTTCTCTGAAAACCACATGTGTCGCATCAAGTACTTCTCTTTTGTGAGATTCCTATACCTGCTCCACCTCTTCTAAGAAGCGAAGGGCAACTGATATGGTCAAACACATATCAAAGAAGAAGAAGAAAAGTAAGGTCATGATTTCCTCTGAGTCTACTACTGATGAAAATGGAATAATTCCAGAGACTCTAGAAGTCGATCTTCAGAAAGACTTTTCTCATCCTGCACCAACTGTTGTTATACCACCTGAAGATTCGCTTGCCAAGTCAGTTTCTAAGGAAGCACGAACTTCTGACATTTTTGTAAACGTATCTCATACGGATGCAAATGTCATAATGGGTGAGGATGCTTCTCATAAAGGAGTCCAAGGTAAAACTTCGGATGTTACCCCATACATTATTGTTTCTTTACCTCCACAACTCACACCTATAATTCCTACGACATCCACAACTGATACTCCTACCTTTGAAAACATTATCAAACAACCAATTACATCTCTTTTTTCTTCACAATACCACAACTTCACCAATTCAAGATTCTTCTTTTATGGAAACTGAACATGAGTCCGAAGGTTTTGGAGGGACATTTGAAAATCTGGAGTTTGATGAAGAAGAAACTTACTTCCCAGATCACATGCTCATGACAATGAAATAGTTCAAGATATTGAATAAAAAGCTCAATTCAATTCTTCAATCTCAGGCTGATCTTGGGGGAGGAAATTCAGTGACCAGTCTAGAAGTAGATGGTGTGTTAAAGATGCTTGAAGGGAGGATTTCTTCAAAGGTTTCAGGAATGATAAAGGATTCTGAGTCTCGTCTCCTGGAGAAAATTGATCTTTGTGATCATAGTAATGAGATGAGGGTCAATGCTCAGAAATCTACTTTTGAAGGTGACCTGAAAGAATTAAAATTGGTGGCAAAGGAACGACATGTTTTATTTGTTCAAGATGTGAAGAAAGTGAGAGAAGATGTGAATTATAAACTCCAAAATCTTAGACAAGACATGGAGAAAGAGATTGCAAATGTCTGTACGGAATTTGGATCTCTCAATCAAAAGGTGGACATAATCTGTGATGCAGTTACCAAATTTTCCAAGTTGTACGAAAGTCTGAGTCCTCAAATTGCTCAACTTTCTACAACAGAGAACATGAATTTTATGGAGGTTTTCACAATGTTAAAGGAGCTTAAAACCTTATCTTCAACACCTGCGTCGTCTTCTCTGCTATCCTCTGAAGATCTTATCCATAAATTTTCTAAATTCGAAGCCTTTCTTCTTCAACAATTGGCTCCTCTTTCACGTATATCCATCCTTCTTCCCACAATGAATGCCCCACCTGTAAGTACAGGGGTGCAAGGGGGAGAAAGGAAAATCGAAGGTTGGAGGCGAAGATGCGAAAGGTGTTTCTTTCGAAGATCCCAACAACGAAGCCAGTGATAGCAACTTTTGGTCCTATCTCCTCAACAATAGTAACAACTATGCCAATCACAAGACCAATTTCGAAAGGAATTGTGATTGGTAAATCTATTGAGACTGGTGGGAGTGATTCGAAGACAAAAGATGTGATTGAAGAATCAGCTTCGAAGGCAAGGGGAAAGTCAATACTTATTGAAAAATCTAAAGAAGAGAAGAAGGTAGAGGCTGAGGCAGAAGTGGAAAAGATGAGGATGATTCAAAGTATAATGACTCAAAGGGCTAGTGATCCTCCTGGCATGAACAAGGGTGGTCCATCAAAGCACTAAAATTATGAAACAATTGAAGCCAAGGTTGCATTCAATCACATGTATTCGTTTGAAAAAAAGCCAAAATAGAGTTATATTGTCACGAATATGGATGCAAGCCAGTTGGACTTTCCAATTAACGAAATGATGTTCATCAAGCCTCAGTTTAAAGTAGAAAGCAAGTTCAAGGAAAAGGATGAAGGAATGCAAATGAAAATCAGGTTTCATGCGGTTCTTGCGAAGCCAGCTAAAGAAGTATGGTCACTGAGAATGTTAAACAAGGTCATAAGCATAAACAAGGATGTGGTTTTTGAAAACATAGTCCAAAACATGAAGTATGTAGTGACCAGAGCAAATGGGAATGTGTGCGAATTTACAACTGTTGACTTTCCTTTGATGAACTTGTATGATCTTATACAAGTTGCATTATTGCTGAAGGAAATGTCTTTTTCATATCTTCAGAACACAGACACTGATGAGTACAAGCTGGGAGTTACTCACATCAAGATTTTTATTGAAAATTATTATGAATGCTTAGCATTGATGGATGTGGAGTTGGCTACAGCTCAAGGTCTGGAAATTACAACACCCATGGCTCCTTCGAAGACACAAGCAAACTTAAAGAAATATGCTGATGGTGAAATCTGCTTAAAGCCTTTTGGTTTAGTCTTCTCTGGGAAGGACAAGTCAGGAAAATCAAAATGATTTTTGTTCTAGGCGAGTGAGGTCGAAAGATATTCAACTTTGCAATATACGAACTTAATTGTTCGTATGAATCATTGCAAGAAAAATAACGAAGGAGACAATAAGGAACTGAAGAAGATTATCTCAAGGTATATTGAGATACGAAGAGTAATGTTGTACTCCATTCAACTGCTTACAAACTTAAGTCTTCAACTCTGTTTACAAAGGGGGAGAATGTAAGGGTATTTTGATTGTAATGAGTCGAAGCCTTTTGTATACTCTTCGTATGGTCTGTAATATATTTTACTAGGGCATGTTTGATTCAAAGCTTAAGTGTTTAGCCTTAGTATATTTTTTGTACACTTTATGTATCCTATAAATAAGATCGTTTACTAGAGTTAGATAACTGAAACAAAATTGTCTATTCTCTCTATAAAAACCTTTAAAGCGTAACTGAGCTGAAGTGTGACATCCCCAAAATCACGGCCAGAAAAGACCGGTTTTGTTTATACTTTATTTCAAAATCAGAGTTATCTTTTAATAAATGGTTTGCGGAATTTGTCCCAAAACAATAATATGATAAAGATTTATCAAAAGCATTTCCATAGAAATGTATTCATTAAGAGACTCGGGATGTCATGTTCGTACAGATCAAAAGTATAAACAGTACAATATAAGCCTTACTACATTATTTCATATCTACAGGCCTATATCCGTAATCCCTCGTCCAAAACATCACACCTATGCTCATGCGCCACTACCTGTAATACATAAAACTGAGTGGGTCAGGCTTGGGAGCCTGGTGAGCACATAGGGTTTTCAACCCACAATAAATAAGTTTATTAATTTCATCAATCAACAATAACCCGATTACCCGTTCCCGTTATCCTCACTTTACGTCCCTAAACACCTATCATAAGGGACCTAGCCTAAGGATTATCATCGGGACGGACACTACTGCTAAGGGGATTCCTCAGCAATAAATGTCCTAATAGGCAACCATGTGGGGGATGGAGTACACCGGTGAACACATCGTTCACAACACCTACAGGTTGCGAACCTGCTAGTGTTCCACTGGACTGTCTAGAAGAGTCCGTGGTCGTCATCTATACTCCGCTAGATGACTGGATCAACAACAACAACATCGAGGCCTCTCATCATTTTATCACACATCACCTATTACATCTACCCATGTTTTACCCCAACATTTTCGTAGATATAAAATACATATACAGTTTAAATCATTGAAAACATGTATAACAACGTTCATCTAGCATAGATAGCAAGTATTCAGATAATATGCACACATAGCACGTAATTTATATAAAATACTTCATATCTATGTGTAAGTTGAAGGTAACTATGCACTCACCGGAAAAGGTGGTGATTCCGAACTCAGACAGCGCTTCGCTTCTTAAAAAGAATTTTTCTTCGACGAAACCTAGTATTATTACCACTAGAGTTTAGTTTATTATTCGTCGAGACTAATTAATAGTCTAGCTATTATTATTATTATATAAGCGTCAAAAAAATACTTATATAACCCATAATAATAGCCCAAGTATTTATTATAAGTTCCTAATAACGTTACTATAATTAAATAAAAGTTATATTAAAAATAGCGTAGGCGTAGCTCACTTACAGCGGGTTTTATAGAAAACCGGGCTTTGCTTGGAGCAGCGTTCCCGAGCCGAAAAGCTCTTCTTCTCGGAGCCTTCGAGCACTCCGGGGCTTCCGCCTCGTGCTAGGGAGGTTCCCTAGGCTTTTCGGGGGATTTCGGGGCTAGAGAGAGGTTCTAGAGAGAGAGAGAGAGAGTAAAGAGAAGAAAGAATGGGAAAGGTGTGAAGAAAATGAGGGTGGGAGAGGTGGTATTTATAGGGTGAAATGTGGCTGAACTTGGTGCCACATGTCACCATCTGGTGGCAAGCCTTGGGGAGAAAGCAATGGCCAAGATTGTGCCACATCACCCATTTTCGCACAGCACACTTCCGACTTCTAAAATCCGTAACTTTCACATACGACCTCCGTTTTTGACGTTCTTTATATCCACGCGTAGGTAATAATAAGATCTACAACTTTCATTTTGACACCGTCAGCTAATTCTCGACCGATCTTAAATTTAACAGTACAAGGAGATTATACTGTTAAACGTCTGCGTAAAATTAATAACTTCTACATACGGACTCTGTTTTTGTCTGTCTTTTTACCGTTGATTTCCTATTAATGAGATCTTCAACTCTCATTTATGTTGCGTAAGCCAAAAACCGCTCGAACTAAAATTCGAGTTTCAGGCCGTGCACTGCTAAGCCGAATCTTAGAAAAATCATAACTTCTTCATACGAAGTCAGATTTGGGCGTTCTTTTTATCGATGTTCTTAGTTTAACATATTCTACGACTTTTGTTTAGATTGCTAAGGCTAAAAAGTCTTCTATCGTAAATTCACTATTTACGTTTCCCGGTGTCGTGCCGGTTTTGTCGTAAAACTTCGGCGGGCCATAACTTCTTCTTTATAGCTCGGATTTCGGCATTCTTTATATGCACGGAAACCTTGAGACATATTCTACAAATTTATGTAGAGATATCGGGATTATCTCACACTTTAATTT